TTTGCCAGAATTTTAGTATTGAAGCACACTTGCTCGGCTAAGTTGAATGCACTTAATTAATTAAACAAATGAGTTAACTTTCGGTGCTATAACTATAACTCATTTTATAATGAGTATTTAAGTTTTGTCGCTCTCCAATATCCCTCGCTTCAAGTGACAAAAAATTCGTTGTGATATAGATATATTTCCTGACCTTCGGCATATTTTGACCCACGACCTTTAGCCAGCTCATTAATTAATCACCTGTTGTGAGGAAGGATTAAAAAGGATTAAAGGAGGTGCGAAGTGTCAAAATGGCGGGCATTTTATACAGGATGCATAAAAAAATATAAAACATGGTTTTAAGATAAAAGATTTTAGGCGCCTGGGAATTTAAAATAGCACAACTGTCAAAATTATTGCACACGCGAGTGCATAAAGCAAAATTTATGCATTTATTTAATGCACAACAACAGTAATATGATCTATTAGCAATTCGATTTCAATTCCCAGGGGCCTAAAACTTTTAGGCTTAAGAATTGCAAAGTATTTCTTAGAAAATTCCGAGGTTGCGTTTTTTTTATACACCCTGTATATATGGATACTGTAAGCCATAGGCTATATCAAAGGCAATTTTTTGGTATAGGAATGGCGGGAATGTATCAGCGGCGCCATTCTCGTCCAAGTACCCAAGAAAAGCCTGCAGGTTGCTGACTTGTTTGTTCCCGTTATCGGAACAAAATAATTTAAAATCAAACGCTACGAACCCCATCATTATCGCCGGCGGTTCGATACATACTTTTTTGAACTTCGCTACATTCTTGTGGTTGAGGCTTTGAAGAAGCCTTGCTTCCTTGAAAAACCTTTGTTTTTCATCAGACCTCGACGATTGTAGCAATTGACCATTTGCGTAATAGACTAAATTTTGAACTAAACAAGTCTAGACAAAAATTTCATCACAGCTTGAAGGAGCATCACAAAATTAGTAATATTCCAAAGTTTCGTTGCAAAATGTTGTAAAATGCGGAAAATATAGCAATGCGAAATTTGCAATTTTCAGTAATTTTAGATTACAAACGGGAAATTGACAGCCCCAAACCCTTCGAGGCTGTCAATTTCCGGTTTGTAATCTAAAATGACTGAAAATTGCAAATTTCGCAAAGCTATATTTTCCGCATTTTACAACATTATGCAACGAAACTTTGGAATATTACTAATTTTGTGATGCTCTTTCAAGCTGTAATGAAATTTTTGTTGAGATCAAAATTTAGTCTATTACGCAAATGGTCAATTTCTTAACAACGACTTTTTCTGCTACTGTTTTTTGCTCACTCTTGAAAGAGGCAAGTAACACTGCGCCAAATGTACCTCTTCCAATCTCACTAGTATCAGAGAGATCAGTCAACAAAAATGTTTCAAGACCTTTCGTGAATTCTTGATAGGAGACCTTCGATTTTGAAAAAGAAGGGAGCTTAAACGACATCTTGTGGTGAATGCTCTAACAGCAAAGCATAGATAGGAAGTAATTTAAGCAGGCCTTTCGTTGTCACACGAGAAGGTGTGATATGTCATTTACATATCACTCTATTTTAGTTGAAATGATCAAAACTGAAACGCAGGTAGTATGAATACGCCAATCTCAAAGCGCTCTAACGAACTGAGCTATAGAATTCTGTTGTCGAACGCAAACCGCAAGTCCATGTGTATATACTAAGGCAATGCCAATGTAGAGGATTTTGGGCAATTGCTGGAATTTTTCTCAACTGCTCCTGGTTAGGGCCGGTTAGGTATAAAAAATCTATAAAAGTGACATTCGAAATTTCCATCTACAAAACCCATCAGCAATTAATTCTATCGAGTACCTATTATGAGGAAGTTGTCGCTGTTCGCAAAGGATTAAAGGAGGTGCGAAGTGTCAAAATGGACGGGCATTCTATATCATAATAATGATCCCGACGAATAAATAGTTGCAAAACTATACCTGCGCGTGCGATCAACTGTACCCCTAGTGTTGAACGGCAATCACAAGTTAGTCATGATCAGCTACAATTTTGCACTGAGAACTTAACCTTGAAGCAGGTAAGTAAAGCATCAAAAGACCTCATAATATATACGTATGTGTATGTATATCAAATTACTCTGTGATTCCTCACTTATAAAATATAACCCAGTATCATTCGTGATGACAATTAAAACATATGTAGTTGAAACTTGAATATATGAAAACGTTTTCTGAATTGCCGTTGTTTGTATTTTGTAAAGATTCTGAGTGGATTTTTCAGAATCTTCAATACTGTAAGTAAAATACATGGAATTGATTGTGTAATTATGACATCACACCTGCAGATATAGCTTTCTGAATGTAAATATGGCATCAATTCTGCCAGCAGAAAACGAGCTTCTTTACATGCAGAACATATAAAGCCATGGCCCATGGCGAGATTTGTTTTTGTAACAAAAAAGAAGCAAAATAAACGAAATACACTAAACGAGCTTACAAACTAAGACAGAGAAAAGAGAGAGAAATACACGGCATTGATAACTTTCAATATCACGCGAAAAATTATTAATTATTGTCGTAATAGATTTTTTGAAGTTTAGTAAATTTCGTGTCCGCATGTCCGCGTTTTCCACTTGACTTGCGTGTCCGCATGTCCGCGTTTTCCACTTGACTTGCGTGTCCGCATGTCCCACTTGACTTGCGTGTCCGCGTTTTCCACCTAACCCATAGGTTCTTTGAATGTTTGACATAGAATGTTTAATATTGGCATACTTCGAAACCCGGACTCGGACTCTAAGAAAATCCGGACTCGAGAAAAACCCGGACCTGGACTCGAAAAAAATCCGGACTCGTGTTTAAGAAAACCCGGACTTGACTTTTGAAACCCCGGACTCGAAATAGAAAAAACCGGATTCAAAACAAGGACTCTGTGTACGAGAATACAAAGGTTTTTTGGAAAGGTTTAATAATAGTTAACATGATAAACGATGATCTCTTTATAACAATAATCCGGTATATATCTTTAAATAAATTTCTAGAGTGCTGTTGCACAATCTGGCGTAGTGCTGATAAAGAATCTGAGTTGCATCGGTAATATTAAATTTGCGGATTTGTTCTCTCGCGCGGGTGTCCCTATCTTTTCCCGCTTTCTATATATAGATATAGATATAGATAGAATACTTTATTTGAAAAGCAATAAGCTTGGTTTCGAAAGGTCAGTGTAGATCATTTTCTTTTCTAGTGACCCAGTGTTATGTGTTATGTGAGGATATTAATCAGTAATCATACTATGATTCCTCACAAAATAATCACGGCTATATAGTATATACCTGAACAAATCATTTAGGCACTTGAACACCAAAATGCATTTATGCATACTTGCGCGAGTAGCTGAATCTACCCTAAACCTAAATTAATAACTAAAATCTGTCTCAGCAGTCAAGAATGTTTTGTCTGGAAACCATCTCGATACACGATTGCTGCAACCATAGCAGACAACGTGATGGCGGCAAGGGTAAAATATACCCTAACACATGTATCAATGGACAGCACACTTTCGAAAACTTTGTCAAAATGACACGAAAAATAACTCGACAGTGTTTTCATGTGGCTTAGGCCATCATTTCGATGGTAGCAAATCCAATGATAGCTTTCAAAGTCTCGAATATATATGTATACGGTATATATATTGCCAAAAAACGAACTCAATAAAAATTATTTCCGTTTTAGCAAAATAACTAACGGAAAAGCACATCACATGCTGAAGAGTGAAGGCAGTGAAGGCGTCGCGGCAATTTGATATTATAAAGTGCTCTCAAATATTAGTGGGCAAGACGCTGCTGTAAACACGTTTATTTTCTCAATTTTGTTAAAATAAAGTTCACAAACACGAATTGAACACCCACAATTATTCCGTAATCAAAAATAGTACAAAACACACATCACAATGAAAGCAATCTTAAAGTGGAAACAAAAAAAGGTGTCGCAGCACCCACGGCCTAATAATACCGACAGTGAAATTCGCGTTGGGTGAATTGGCATAAATTCAGTGATATTGAGGCTCTCTCGTTAGGCAATGCGTTCATCAATTGCCTGAAGTGGCTTGCATATAACCGCGGCTCATTTATGCATACGTTTACAAGACAGCTAGTACGAGGGTAGCATGTTGATTCTCAAAATAACTTGATTTATTGTCAAACTTAATTGTCAGTATTCATGAGTCTCACACGTTGTTTGCTATGCTTGCAGCACTTGTGTAACGAGATGGTTTCCAGACAAGACATTCTTGACTGCTGAGACAGATTTTAGTTATTAATTTAGGTCTAGTAGACCCAAATTAATAACAGACTAGGGTAGATTTAGCTGTTTAAGTGTCTAAATATTTTTTTTCAGGTATACTATAGTGATTATTTTGTGAGGAATCATAGTATGATTACTGATTAGTATATCCTCACATAACACATAACACTGAGTCGCTAGAAGAAAAAATTATCCACATGTTTCAAAACCAAGCTTATTGCTTTTGAAATAAAGTATTCTATCTTTATCTATATATATAGAAAGCGGGAAGAGATAGGGACACCCGCAATTATTACCGAACAACTCAGATTCTTTAGCACTACGCCAGATAGTTAGATTCTTTATCAGCACTACGCCAGATAGAAATTTATTCATTATTGTATATACATCATTATTGTTATAAAGAGATCATCGTTTATCATGTTAACTATTATTAAACCCTTCCACAAAACCTTTGCATTCTCGTACACAGAGTCCTTGTTTTGAATCTGGTTTTTTCTATTTCGAGTCCGGGTTTTCAAAAGTCAAGTCCGGGTTTTCTTAAACACGAGTCCGGATTTTTTTCGAGTCCGGGTCCGGGTTTTTCTCGAGTCCGGATTTTCTTAGAGTCCGAGTCCGGGTTTCGAAGTATGCCAACAATATTGGATTTATATTGCATGTGACTGCATTTTTAATTCAGGTAAAACAAGTTGTGTCAAGCGTTGGCCAAAACCCACACTGAATGTCCCAACGTCTTCGCAGAGGGCATATCGACCATTTCAACACAAACATGAATTCGATTGTCAGTTTAGATAGATTGTTGTTAGTGGTACTGCTCTACATATTTTGCTTCGCGGTTGATACGACCTTGGCGGCAGGAAACGCTTACATCGTGGTTGAGCTGCCAGATATTCCATGTAAAGATCCATCGAGCGCCATTCCTGCATGTTCGGGTTCGTTAGACTACAAGATACCAGATTTCAGCAACGTCCCAAATGCCGCCAACCTTTCAGAAGCCCGGAAAATTATTGCTGTTGGAATCACTGTTTTTCATTTATTGGGCAACAAGGAATGCAGTAGAGCCGGAACGAAATATCTTTGCGAAGGAGCGTACCCATTTCGTTGCAAAGACGCTTATGTCGAGGTTGATCTCAATGAGATAGTCACTACATGCAACGAAGGCAGAAAAGACTGTTCCAGTTTAAACTCGACTCTTCTGGATTCGTTGTTCAATTGCACTGATCTTGCCAATACTCCTTACTTGCAGCAGACAAAGATTCCACGAAAGATATCTTGCAACGTTTTCCCTGTTCTCAAAAATGACCCTTATTCTTGCGAGGTTAACTACAAGGTAGGTTGAATTGTTTCAGTGAGTGCGAAATAACTCGTAAGGGTTTTCCACTTCAACCGTATCGTAACGTATCTACATAATTTTAACGCCAACAATTAGAAACGTTTGTATAGTATAGTCATGATTTGGGGCGTTTTATGTGAATTCACTGACTATTGCTCGAAACGCCGCGTACAGGCCCGACAACTAGGGATTCGAGCATTATACGCGGTGCTTAAATCGTTATACGCGGTGGTTCGAGCATTATACGCGGTGCTTTCGGCATTATATGCGGTGCTTACACCATTATATGCGGTGGTTCTAGCATTATACGCGGTGCATTCATAATTTGCATCATTATGTGGTAGTGAGCCAGTATGTTTGGACAGCGGTTAATATTTATTTAGTTATCAGTCCACAGGTGGCCCAAACTCTGAATGGTCTATCTATTTTGAATATTATACGGAATATTTATACGTTATAATCTCTGCGTTGTAATATTTAACGAAATAATTAAAAAAAATATCAACAATATACCGGGTGTCCCCAAAAAACTATATCTATTATATTAAAGCTAAAACTGAACGGTTTAGAAATAGTTTTATCCCATATGCAATTAGACTTATTCGTAGTTTTAAATTAACGTTTTAATAATTTTATATTTTCTTATATAGCTTATTTTGAATATGTATCTTAATTTAATTAACTTCATATAATGTAAAAACGTGTAATTCAATCCCTGATTGCAAAACGTTTTTTATTAAAAATCACAATCGCAGTATATAACATTTAATTTTCCGCGCGTTGACAGAGTTGGACCATTGGCGTTTTGAAATTGAACTACCATTTCTGAAAAGGTTAAAAATTAGCATAAAACGGCATATCAAATTTTTATTCTTGCTAAAAGAATGAATTTATGTACAAAGGATTGACTAACTGAGTCTACTCATCAGGAAAAGCGTGGCTTTGAGCCTGAATGAACCGTTGTGTATGCTCTAGAAATCATGCCATCATAAGCGTTTTGAATCATTTGTTGATCCAAAAATCTAATCGACAATGTTTACAGTATTTCATTACGAATTTGAAACAATTAGCCCATGCAAAGGACATCAACGTAAATTATTACTTTTTTGTTTCATTCCAATCAATCTTTAAGTGTAATTTTTATTTCAAAAGTAAATTTGCAAGGGAACAGCCTAAAATTAAAGATAAAATCACTGAAGTTAAAAAGATTCCATCTAAGTGACACCTGCTTTCAATTTAGTCTGATGCGGCAATTTTTGTCGTTTTTTCGACAATGTTTAATTAAAACTCCTCGGAACTTTAAATACGAAGTCAATATCGTACGGAAAATTAAATGTTGTATATCAAAATCTAAGTTAATCCTTTGTGAATAGAATGGTTTTCATTTTAGTGAAATAGCTTTTAATATAGGTTTTACGTTACATGAACTCAAACAGTGTATAGTTTTTTTGGGGACACCCAGTATGTAAAACATATAGCTAAATTGTTAATAGATGCATTGTTGCGTTTCTGAGTCTAGTCGATGCGATTGTTTTAGGTTTTCGCCGTACTTGAACGGTCGTCAATACTGACACTAAACGACACAGGGTTGTACAGCTGCATAACAAATTCTCTATCGCCTGTTTCTTCTTACCTGTCGTAACGAAAGACGCTCTATATAAACGCTATATACTCTATAGTTATACTACTGTAACATTCCTTAGTAATTCAGTACAACCATGGCCCATGCAACGATGGCCCGATTTGGTAAGACACCTTATATTTTACATTTATTTTACAATAGTCGTGCACATATTTTGCTATTTTTATGTTTATTCACTCTGTAATCCAAATCGATTTCTGTATTCTATCCTTCACATGACATGCGCCAGCTCCAAATCCCTGCTGATCATTCCATGAAGGACGAAACGCCGCGTACAGGGATACCGACTTTTACGGCACGTGACTATTTCTTTCTCTCGCTTTATATATTTTACATGTGCTTCCATACACGCTTTTTTAAGTTCAGCGCGATCATACCTTTTGGGCAGATCAAATATTTTTTTACACCACAGGATATATTTTACCGTTACAATTTTACAATCACACATGGATCCACATGCATCTCCAATTTTATGTTTCATAAATCTACCTGTAGCTTACTTATATTTCTTAGGTTCACATTTATACAAATACAAGTCGTTTTTCCTCAGTTTTATCTCAACATAATTTTCACAGGCATACATTGTGCCAACAACACGAGGCCATCACATGCACTATCATATTTCACACTACACTTTTGGATCTAACATTTGGGGACTATTGTGGCATAAAATTATTACCAATAGGCAATATGGTTCTCATTACCTATATCTAAACTTAAAAAAAAACTGCCTCCATGCCCAGAGATCGAAGTATTTCGTCGATGACAAAAAAAAAATATAACACTAAATAGCATTCTTTCAACATTAATCGTGTTCGAAGTAAACGTGTTTTCCCCTCAAAAAACTCTAAATATATTGCGAAAATTTGCCGTCGCAAAACATATAAATGCTAACATGTGATCGAGACACGAAGTATAAAATATTCTTTCTAAGCCGCTGTCCAAACATACTGGCTCACTACCACATAATGATGCTCACTACCACATAATGATGCAAATGAGTATAATGATGAAAGCACCGCGTATAATGATGAAAGCACCGCGTATAATGCTCGAACCACCGCATATAATGCTCGAACCACCGCGTATAATGCTCGAACCACCGCATATAATGCTCGAACCACCGCATATAATGGTGAAAGCACCGCGCGTAACGCTAACTGCGTATAATGACGAAAGCACCGCGTATAATGGTGAAAGCACCGCGTATAATGGTGAAAGTACCGCGTATAATGCTCGAACCACCGCATATAATGGTGAAAGCACCGCGTATAATGGCGAAAGCACCGCGTACAATGGCGAAAGCACCGCGTATAATGTTGAAATCACCGCGTATAATGCTAGAACCACCGCGTATAATGCTAGAACCACCGCGTGTAATGCTTGAACCACCGCGTATAATGGCGAAAGCACCGCAAATAATGCCGAAAGAACGGAGTATAATGTTAAAAGCACCCAACAAAATGACGTTTGATCACTTAAGACAGCTATGGCTTTCCATAACATTACGACTTAATTTTTCTATTGTAAATATCTCGGCGGGTATTTACCCCCCTTTTAAATAAAACCCACCATTGAATTCCTCACAAAATAACCTTTCCAACGGGGGGTCAAGTGCCGTCAAAACATTACACAAACCGAAACAATCATATATTTACTCACCGCTTGGCCAAAGATTCTGAATTTCATATCCAGATAATCTTGAATATCTCTTGAACTTTTCGTCATTGTCTGAGCGGCTATATGTGTAAAATACTCTTTGTATTCAAGCGCTTTCGTGTACAAAATTTCGTTTGAATACGGCGAGTAGAAATATTTATTTTGAATTTTTCAAGGACGCGGGTTTTACTCGCACTGCGTACATTGCGCAATAATTGGCCAATAAGAAGCTCCTGTGGCCGGGATGACGTCAAACTCACGCGTGTAGGTGCAATCTGACCTTGCGAACCATTTCTGGCCTTTGCAGGGTCATACGATACAAGCTTCGAATTGTTTTGACGGTTTTCTGTCGTACTTCCGGTTGGGATTAACTCACTTCGAGCTCACAGTCGGACAAGAAATGGAAATATATTGATAAAATATACAGATTTGAAGATACAGGCTTGCAAATAACACTCTAAATAGTGTTTTTAATGGGGATTCGAACAAGACTATTACAAAGACGATATGTTCGAAGGGGCCGAAGTTATTTTCGGCGAAAGGTATGGCTAAGTTTATATTTTTGTTCAGACAATTGCGTAATTTGATACAATATAATCGTGTTTGACTTCAAAGGCCCATAAATCGCTACAATCTTGATAATGGCTATAGCTATAGTGACGAATTAGTTGAATCTTTTATTTCTGAATCGAATGGTGGTATTTCTGTCTTCATAGCATGCACCGAACCGAAGATATGAACATCCAATCATTCATCCGCTAGCGGATGAATGATTTGGGATTTGCCGTCAAAGAGTAATTAATAAACTGGTTTCTTGCATTATGTATAAAGCTATTAAAACACCGGATATTACTATTATTACACTTTATTTCAATACCGAACTATTTCACAATATAAAACTACCTAACCAAACACTAATTTCAAGAAACAGATATGTCCGCTGTGGATGCATCTACTGAATAGTAGCATTGGGAAATAAAAGGCATTAAGCAGATAAAAGCCATTCATTATACAGCACTAATAGCAGAGAGTGCATGAGCCCGGATACTGAGCAATACCGCGGTATTTTCAAAGAACCGATGACGTACACAATTACAAAACGATGCAGATGCAAAATTCTTTTCCAATTATATACAGAAATGAGAAAACTAACAGAAAACAGAATGAGTGATCTTTCAATAACCCGTATACAGCTGTTTCAATTAAGGTTGTCCACGAGCAAAGCGGAATAATCGAGTACGAGCGCGAAAGGCTGCTGGGAATCCCTTACAAATTAATGAATTTTCATAGCGATTCCCAGCAGCCTTTTGCGCTCGTATTCGACTTTTCCGCTTTGCTCGGGGACAACCTTAATTGAAATAGCTGTAAATGAAAATTATTCCAATAGGAAATTATGATTTATATGCCTAATTGGACTCCCTGTTAATACTCTTTGTATTCAAGAAATGAACTTCGAAGCCAAGCTGAACGGACGTGTCTTGGAAGCTCTGCGATATTTTTGAAGATATACTAAGCTAAAACCGATCAATATGTCTCAAGGTGACATAACTAAAATAAATCCACTAAGTTTCACAAATAGAAAACTTAAATGGCTTGGTGATTTTGATTTATTTGAGAAATTTGTTAATGACATATTAAACATCAAAGGCGAGTGGAAGGTTCCGCGTGGCGGTTGTAAACAGCTGAAGACGAAAGATATCACTGTACGCTGGTACGAAAACCGAAGTGTGTTGTTGGATGGTCCCATGAAAGATGAATACTCCGATATTCTGCAAAGAATAGCCACTATTTCACCGAATAACATAAGCAATTTGGGAGTTGACGACTTTGCTGATGTCTCACCCACGCATATGCCTTCCCTGCCGAATATTAATAGCTTTATGGTAAATACGAACATGTCGAATGCTGAACTGTTCGATTTTGATGCTTCTCAAAATGACTCTGCACACTTTTCAACTAATAATGGCGCTACAAATGGATTTGAGCAAACCCTTAAAGAAATTTCGATATGTGTGGAGGGAAACGCACTGGATGATGTTATGAATCGCTTGAATGCATTGTCTAACGAATTTGAAATATATAAATCCGAAACGACCATAGTATTGAACGAGCTTGTAGATGGGTATGAAATTCGTAATAGCCAAGTGAGAGATAATCAACTTGCCCAAGAAAACGACTTATTAAAAAAAGCAAATATGGCACTTAAATCTGACGTACATAAACTTGAATGTCTATTGTCCGAAACCAGTTCTAAATTAGTAGCTGCGGAAAGCGAAAAAGCTAGTCTCGTGACGGTTATTCGGTTAATGAATGAGGATTGTGCTAATGCTGTTAAAGATGTAGGGGACAACGTTCGCAGTCAAACGACTCAACCAAGAAATCCATGGTGTACGGTTCATACAAGAAGCGAGAATCAAAAAGGTAACGAGGTTACAAGGCTGCACAACCAGTTCTCGTCTTTAGAGGACGAGGCAAATGAACTAAACAATAACAGTGACTTTGATGCTTCCGTAATTAATATTGATTCTGATATACAACAACCAACACCTAGTCAAAATATGTCTGAGAGTACAAGTAAATCTACAGAGCCCAAGGATGACAGAACGCAAGGTACAAGTGGTAACAGTGATCGAGTACCAAAGAAAGGTATTGCACTTATTGGGGATTCAATAATAAAAAATATTAGTCCGGTAAAACTCTCAAAAAGGAAAGTTTATAAATTCACATATCCAGGTAAAACAACTATAGAAATAACTAATGAGCTTGCCAAAATTAATATTAAACCGGAGCCGTCTCATGTTGTTATTCACGCAGGGACAAATGATGTCCCTGTTGAATCTATAGACGAATGTGTTGGTAACATGGAAAAACTTATTACAACAGCTAAACAGAAATTCCCTAATTCTAAAATTGGAATTTCTGGACTTACATTGAGACAGGATAGTGATTTAATATCAAAAATAGAAGAAATTAACGAGAAAGTTCAGAGTTTGTCATCTAAGCATGATGTGACATTTATAAGTAATATGTCAATAGATGAGACATGTTTGAACTCTAGTGGCCTGCATCTAAATGCAAAGGGGACTGCCATACTAGCTACACATTTTATTAAGTTCCTTAGGGATGGGCAATCCTTAAGTTCACTGCGCCCACAAAAACATTCCCGTCAGGATTTTCCAAAGAACACAATAAACCATCTGGCAGAACTACTAAATGCGATAATGAACGTGAACAAGTAAATTGTCAAGATGTGCCAAGCAATTCTTTATTAGGCATAGATAGTGAAATTAACATAATCGCCAAAAGTAAAGGTTTGAAGATAGCCAACTTAAATGTAAATAGCTTAATGAAACATCTGGATGAAATTCGCTTAATCCTTAACAATAACGCCCTTGACATTCTTGCAATTAATGAGTCCAAAATTGATAATCAGATTTCAAATAATGAGATACATATTGATGGTTTTAATATAATTCGTAAAGATCGAAATAGGTTTGGTGGTGGTGTGGTTCTATATGTTCGCCAAAACATATCATTCTCAGATAGAATAGATCTAATCCCTGATGAACTTGAGATGGTCTGCATTGAATTAAGTTTACCCTACAATAAATCACTGCTAATAAGCACGTGGTATAGACCACCAAATTCTCTTATGAATATATTTGATTACTGGGCAAGCTTTTTAGCAAAATGTGATAATGAAGATAAGGAGCTAATCCTCATAGGAGATCTAAATTGTGATGTCAGTAAAACTATACCTGACCCTCACACATGTAAGTTGCAATTTTTATGTTCTCTGTATCAGATAGACCAACTTATTACAGAATCTACAAGGCTAACTCCTAAATCAGCTACACTAATTGATTTAATATTAACAAATAGACCAGAAAATATTTCCAGATCAGGTGTCATTCACCTGGGAATTTCAGATCACAGCCTTGTCTACGCTGTGAGAAAATTTACACGACCGAATGGAAGGCAAAAAATTCGTCAGGTTCGTAACTTTAAAAACTTTGTCGAAAATTATTTCATTCGGGATGTGTCTCAATTGCCTTGGGAGATGGTCTATCAGTTTGGAGATCCCAATTTATGTTGGCAAGTCTGGAAATCACTATTATTAGATGCACTTAATAGACATGCCCCTCTGCGCCACAAGCGAATAAGGAATAACCCTGTCCCATGGATTAATCCTCAAATTAAAGAACTTATGAGAAAAAGGGACTATCACAAAAAAAGGCCATAAAATATGATTCGGAGTCACAGTGGGAATTGTATAAAACACTACGTAATGAAGTAAATATAAACATGCGGAAAGCAAAATCTAAGTACTTTTGTGATAAAATCCAGGCAAGCTCTCAAATGGGAGACAGTAAAAGTGGATGGGCTTGGATAAATTCGCTCTTAGGAAGAAAGCATAAGAATGCAAATATTAATGAACTGAAAGTAAATGATGATATTATTTCTGATGATAAATCTATTACTGAAACATTAAATGAATATTTTATAAATATTGGAATGAAGATGGCTGCTGAATCAGCATGTCAAAGCACTGATGCTTTAAATGATCAAGTAATTTATGAAAGTACTGTGCTTCTTCCTAAAGAAAATGTTCACTTCGCAGATATTACTATAGATAGTGTTTCCAAACGCCTACAAAAACTAAATGTCTCAAAAGCGACAGGTATGGATGGAATACCTGCGAATATTTTAAAACTGACATCAACCCTTATTGCTCCATCTATAACTTTTATATTTAACCTATCGATTAGAACTGGTATTTATATAGATGAGTGGAAATTGGCTAGAGTTATACCAATTTACAAATCTGAGGATAAGCGTAAATGCGAAAATTATAGACCAATTTCAATTCTTCCCATAATAAGAAAAATATTTGAAGGGGAAGTTTTTACTCAAATATATAGCTTTTTGAATAAACATGCGCTTCTGTCTAAATTTCAGTCCGGGTTTAGACCAAAACATGGAACCTTAGGTGCTCTTATACAAATGTGTGATCAATGGCTACAAGACATGGATGAAGGCAAAATAAATGGAGTTGTTTTTCTTGATATATGTAAAGCATTTGACTCAGTGAATCACGAGATATTATTGGAGAAGCTTAAAACCCGGTTTGGAATTCACGACATTGAGTTAAAATGGTTCCAATCATACTTAAGGAATAGAAAGCAAGTGTGTTCTGTTAATGATCAAACTTCTTCTGCAAGAACAATAATATGCGGAATTCCGCAAGGATCCATACTTGGTCCATTATTGTTTTTGCTATATATTAATGATATGCCTGATATTTTAGAAAGGACAACCCCATGTCTTTATGCCGACGACACTCAGATATCTTCCTCTTCGCATGATTACGATACATTGATTGACAATTTGAATATGGACCTTTCCAGTATTCATAAATGGCTTTCTAAAAACAAACTAAAATATCATAGGAAAAAAACAAAAGTCATGTTTATTGGATCTACGCATAATCTAAATCATAAAATAGGAAATAGACCCGTTGAGATTAACAAAATCCCAGTCCCACAAACCAATAATTAAATTTAAATGTCTAGGTGTAAATCTAGATGAAAAATTAAGTTGGGAGAAACATATTGATTCTGTATGCCATAAGATTAGCGCTGGAATAGGAGCAATTAAAAGAATAAAACCTTATGTTCCACACAAAACCTTACATGATGTCTACAAAACATTAATTCAGCCTCATTTTGATTACTGTTCTCCCCTGTGGAATAACTGTAGTTTGGGACTTCAAGACAAATTGCAAAAATTCCAAAATCGAGCAGCAAGGGTGATTACCGGAGCTGACTACGATGTAA